AGATGGTAGATATACATCAATGTTTTTAATATTCTGATTGTAACATATAATGAACTTGATTATCCTAAATTTTGAGGTTATTTTTTCAAAATCCATATTGGGTTCTACGACGAAACACGACTACCCTTATTTCTCAAATTTTTGGCTGGACCGTAATGGGAGGCATCTATTGGATAGTATTCATGCTTGGTTTATATCCATATTTAATTTACCTACACAGAGGTTAGTAGGGTATAAGGAATCAAAAACAGTTTTGGGTTGGAGCTTCTAGTTTTTGAGATATGGGCGAGCAAATATAGCCAAAAGGGTGGTCACATTAATTTTAAAGCCATGTTTGATAGAACATAATTCAAAAAGTAGTTTTCTAAGTAATTATTTGAACAAAGAGTGGAGCTTTTAGCTTTTTAGGTGACCTAGAAAAAAAGTTATGACACTTCAAAAATAAAAGAATCCAAAATAACACATTTGTTTGTTTTGACAGTCCAATGAAGAAAGTAGTTCAAATGCTATGCAGTTTGCTGGACTTTAAGAAGTGAAGATCTATATTAGGCAAGGCTTCAATTCGGATTGATGAGCTGGTGACAGATGGACATGTACAGGTGAAAAATACATGAAAGAACAGTGAAAAATCGAAGCATACCATTACTTTGATGTTTGGCATGTAACTAAAGGTAATACAATTTCATTACATATTATTAACATCCCTAATTCAGTTTTCGAGGTCATCCAATTTTGTAATGCTAATTCAAGAGAAAATCAACCTAATCAAAAGCAAGAGGATGGATTTTCAAACAAAACCATGCAGCCAAATACGGTTAAAAACGCAACATAAAGAAATGTATAGAACAGTGGAAACGCATTAAGCAATCCACATAAAGAAGAAATTGCTTCACGGAAATTGAATGCTGCGAAAACAGGTGGGAGATCGCCGGTTCTGTCATCAGTCAGGGCGATTGCAGAACTAGTAGAATCAATCATACCAAAAGAATTTGACTCGATAATGCTACTGGTAATGCCACATCATCAGTTTTGTGTTCCCCAAGGTTCACTTTAAAGATCACATGATTAGAGATAGCCCACCTGGATATGTTCAAGTTGCAAATCTATCTGGGTGGATGACTGCTGGGGAATTCTTCAAGTTTACAACTGTTGTCCCTGTTCTTGTGAACACAAAATGCTCTGCTGCTATCCATGGATCCCATTTGTTCATTGACACTTTAGACCTGCCAAAGACCAACAGTATTGTCCTCTTATCATTTCCACCCCACACGTCTCATTACCTACAAAGTTTGATAGAGGGTATGGCCTACTCAAGTGATTCTTACCATAGTGATTTTACAAGGCAAATAGTTAAAACTCGTAGATTCTGCCTTGTCTCTTAAATTTAAAAAATGTGATTGTCTAATTGGACTTGAAAAGAGTTAAGAGGTGTACTGTTAACTATGTGTGAAGGAAGTGAAATGTATTTATAATTCGAGAATTGAAAAAAGACGTCTTGTAGTGTTTCTTCTAACTTTAGCATGTTTTTAAGGTATGACTTTCAATCTGTCCTATTTTGGAAAGTGTAAAACTTTAAAACTGTTAATGTCCTCAAGATTATTTATGATTTTAAAAACTTTAATCATATCACCCCATGTACGTCTTGGAGCGTAGGCAAACCCAATTTACTAGGTAGTTTATGTGCTGAAAAATTGTGTAATTCTGAGATGAGCTTTGTTGCCCAATTTTGGACCTTTTTAAGCTTGACAGTGTCCTTTTGGGGATTGTTTGAATCATTGAATGTGCAAAGATCACTTTTACATGCTTGGGCTACACTACCTTACATAGTTTCCATTTAACTCGGAAAATACACAAATCAAAGGTGATGTTGGTAGTCTGAGTGGATACTTACCCTGGATATTGCCTATTCTTTCTCACACATGAGAACACCCCTCGAAAAATAATAGAACAGTCGACTCCTGGCGCCAAGCTCAAGCGGCCCGCCACCATGCAACTTCCTCATTTTTTTTGGAGTCATGAAAGTGAACACCTTGAAAGGATTTTCGATTGTGGATTTACGATCTTTTTTTGATTGATATTACTTGCATTTATCAAGATCTTCTTTGGATTTTACTGCATCTTGCTTGCTGTGCTATGGATTTGCTGTGTAGTCACCATGAACGGCAAATCAGATTGTCCGATCTGTCGGGGCCCTAGGCCCAGTCCAAAAGTGGACAATCATAAAGCTTGTCCAGCTTGTAGGGAGTGCAATGCTGAATCTCCTTCTCCATCTCAATTCGTGGTCATCCAGGTCTGACTGGCCAATCGTTTGTCGGGGGATCCGGCTCCTGCAGATGGGGAAGCATCGACTTCTGAAGATCTGCCTCCGCCGCCGCCGCTCGCTGTTTCGCAGCCTGCGGGAGCTGGCCTAGCTGGCCTAGCTTCCGAAATTATGCAGGCCATTGCCGCGAAAAAAACAACGTTGGTAAAAAGTCTGACAATTTCATTGTACGGAAAATTGACAATCTTGTTTCATTCCTAAAATTTGGGCTCCAGTGTAAACATGTTGTGTTTTCAAGCTTTTGGGGATTTGGCGACTAGACCTGGACTGCACATTCCATTAACGGTCGAACCAGAGACTTGTATAAAGGAAGAAACATTTCCTTGTCCATGTAACTAAACGTGTACTTTATTCTACCAACTATAGAATTTGCTTTTGCAGCCACTTAACTTGGGAATGTTAATGTGGGAAGATGACTTAAAGTCAGCTAAAACATGGATGAAAACATTGGATGAAAAAACACCCAGGATATGCAATGAAAATCTGATTCTCTCCTCAAATGCACCAACTAAAATTATAAATGGCTCTTACTGTATGTTCCCTTTAATAGTGTAATATTTGAAGACTATGATTTTTAAGAGTATTATGAGTATGAACAAATAATCAAGCATCAAGTCATGGCTAGTAATAACATGTTTCTTTCTCGAATGATACAAATCTTTGCCGCTGATGACCCTGCTAACACAGTTGAATGGTTGTGTAATGGTAGTAACAAAAAAGGAATGAAGTTGTCAGATGGAAAAGCATTATGAGGAATGAACACTCATTAAAGAAAAGATAAATAGTCATAAGAAAGAGTCCAGTGATCTCCTCGAATTCCTATTTCTATTTGATCGAGCCCATACAAATTTTCTGCACATGTCCTGTGTGCTTTCTTTACCGTGGAAATGTGTGGTTCGAACCATTCACAGCTCGAACTGTGAACAAGATCTAAAATAAAAAAATAAATATAGCCTATAAACCATTTTAAAAAATGAGTAACATTAAATATATAATATATTACAATAATATAATAGGGAACAACCTGCATGGGAAATTTAGAGAATTATATGGGCAGAGGTACGCACTCTCTGAGTGCCCTCTAGTTATGCGTGTTGTGCTTTTTTCAGTTAATAAGTTAAACCATGTATTATGTTTTGTAGTTTAACGCAAAATGTTTAGGCCTACATACAATCAACTAAGTGGGTATTACCTAATAATCAATAAATAAATCAAGTAATAAACCGACCATCGGCTTTTTTTTTTTTTGCAGGTACTACAGAATAGAAAGGTAGTGAAACTAAAGTGATGTGTCGAACGCCTATTACGAAGAGTTTGGCGAGAGAATGTCATCTCACTATACTGAGCATAGATTAGTAAGAGAACGGCTCGAAAAGGAGTGCAGAGAAAGATTAGGTTTTGCTGCTCCAGATACGATGGAAAGGGAATTAGCAAACCCATTTAATATTTAACCCAATAGCTCCTCCACCTGTTGTGTTAAATAGGGATACTCACTTGCCTCAAAGGACCTGGTACAAGAACCTGTTAAAAGCATACGTACACAAATCAAGGAAGGGTTTTCAAAAGCCGAAAATTTTAAGTAGCCTCAGACATTGTACATTCGCCATGTCAATCATTATGGCAGTAGCTTATTACCATGCTCCGAGAAACATGACCGAAATATGTCACTAAACATAAAAAATCTCATCATAATTGATAACAGCAAGGCATATAAGATACAGAAAAATTGTATCAAAGAAATATTTGACACATGCTCAAAATGTGAACAATTTCCAAAAATTTGCTCTATAAATACCATAAGCACAGAGGAAGCAAAACCTAGCTGACTTAACATTTGATACAGTTACCATTTTTGACGTACAGGGGTCCAGTTGCTTTTTTGGTTGTAACACCCAAGACAACACCATAAAAATTATGTATATTAGTTGCAAGAAATATATTAGCCAGCAAGGACCAAGGAATTTCCCTGTGTTTGATAAAAATGCTCAAAATGTGACAAAAAAAAAAAAAAACAATTTGAAGGAGTGTGCCGTATAAATATATTCTAATGCAAAATGAAGCCAAACAAGAACTAAGTGAGCTCCCAGACTTATGTAAGTGTAAAATTACACTTACTTCATTCTCAGGACACGAAATTGCTCCTACTGGTATTAAAAGAAATTATACCCTATGAATTTTAGATTGTAGCAGCGAAAATCAGTTATCTAGGTCTGGTAGCATTGTGAAATGATCACATTTCATAATGAGCCAATCAAAGGAACTTAGACAATCAAGGCAATCTTAACTTACAAAGAACCAAAAGATGTTAAATGGTATTTAAGAACTTTTAGCAACAGTGACGTACTTAAGTTTATATTTACTGCAACCTGTCATATAAATCAGCCCCATTAAGAAAATAGACAAAAATGAAGCATGAAATTGGAATGAAGACTAAAATTTCTGTATTTTGACTTACATAAACACTGGTACACCAGCTATGATATATTACAAAGTACCATTAATCTACTGTCACTAAATGCATCAATAATGTAACATGTTGCAATTGTTGCTTTCATAAGGCTCTGTTGACACCATCAAATTTATGTCATGTGCCCATATATGGGCATGATAAATGATGATGTCACATTACACCCAAATATGGGCATATCACATTTGTCACATACAAGACGGAGCTTAACAAAAAAAAACCTTTTAAATTTTCATAAATGTGAATCTACTGGTGAAGGTTTGAACCTGACCTTAAATTTACTTTGAGGTAGATCATGATCCCAGGCCCCTTTTCTGATCATATTAGCACCCATCCTACCGATCTCATAAGCAGATTTAGCCCCATACCCATTACCCCCTACCAGTATTCCAAGCTTTTTCGTTACCATATCACAGTACAGGTATCCGGTTGCTGTTTTGCCTGAAACGCAGGAGTCATACTTGATGGACAGTACGTTAAAATCTAGTTAAAAAGAAGAAAACCATATTTAAATTTTTTATTTCATATTTATTATTACATAAAACTTCACATTCATGCACTAATGATTTGAAAATTTTTCTTTAAAAAGTTATTTTACATTTTAATTAGCATACTGTTCATACAATAAAAGTAACTTCTCTCCTATTTTAAAAATTATATACATTAAGATATTTTTCCAAAATAGTAACGAACATTAATATTAATACATGAAAAATTTTTCCCAGATTTTTAATTTACAATGGGCCAAAGGCTTAGCCAACGAGCCAACAATTATTTATGACGGCCACTTTACTGTGACGGCTTGGCCTACTCAGCTCAGCCTAGCCTAGTTGGGCCTGGTCTACCTTTAACAAATACCACCAACCCACCAAAGAAAAGTTCTTCATCTTTCATTTTGGACGGCTTACAGTATTTCCTTTTTTCGGGCTAAGCCCCTGCAATGGGCACATATGGATGAAGACAGCAGCTGTCAGGCCTTAAAGGTGAGGTCTCAACCAGGCACTGTCCAAGTGGGAGTAAAGCCCCAGAAGCAATGCCTTTACTATTTAGATTCTCATTTAACCAATTATAGAGCCATTATCAATAGTAGATGACAATTTAATAGTCTTGGTCACTATGAGACCTTGGCCCATTAGCACTTTCCCTGTCTGTTCTCCACCTCTTAACATTATTGTAACATTCAGGATCTCTGATGATTGCCTGTGTTGGATGGATCACTCTTTTTATATAAAAGTGATACTGGTACTGGTATACAAATAAACAAATAAAGGCTTATAAGTAATTACCTGCCATGATTTTCTTTAGAATCTTATAAAGCTGCAGTCCAACAGAACTTGGTCCTCTAGTCCTAAAGTGATTTACAATGGCATCATTGGTTGATAAGGCTTTGTTACCCCACCCACTATGGCCTATCTTCAGATAGTATTTACCTAAAAGAAAACATAGTAAAGTATCAAGGTTATTCATTTAAACTATTGAAAAAACAAAGAAATTTAAAACATTTTAATAAGGAAGTACCAAAAATAATAACTTTAATAATAAATGTATTTTTCTTGCATTAACCAATTACATACTGCGCAATTACTGGGCAACATAATTCCATGGAGAAGGCAGCATGACGATGCTTGTGCAACGGACCAGCATCAGCATGCTCCGACAGACAGTGAAAGTGAATATTGTCCTCCGACATCAGGTACAACACAGACTTTAATACCACTGTATCAGTATGTATCTTGTATTTGGAAGTTGTTAATATCGGGCTATTAATCACTTCACTTAACTTTTACATGTTACCATTGTTTACATTTTGTTTTCTTTTATTCAAAAGCATCCGTATCCTGGGTGACATGCTGTCAACAATTTGTAAGCTTTTCTTAAAGACAACTGAGAATGATTCTTACCATCTGGGTACCTGATTGGAGGTAGTATATAGCATGCATTGGATGGGTCATTCGGTCTATAGATTAGACTTGGCATCGACTTCAGTCTTTCTACATCATTACTACTCATCTCCAATAATAGTACCCTATCGGTAGTCGCCAACATGTCTGGGACCAGTTTTGTAGGAAGTAAGTTATTGAAGCCTGTGAAACACCCAGTGGTCAAGAGAACTCGTTTACTGTGGATTTTGATACTGGTTTTGGTTGTAAGAAGTAGGTGCATTTCTCTGCCACAGGGAGTATCTTGAATAGATTCTACAATGTCTGAGATAATTTTGCAGCCTTGGCACTTTGCTAAGCCTTGGTGGGCAAGCCTTTGTTGCCTTATATTTATATACCCATCATTTTCTCTGCTATAAAGTCCAGATAATTCTTCTTTAATTGCAAGAAATGGAAATTTCTTATTGATATCTTGTGAACTGAGTTCTGTAGATTGTATTCGTAAAGTTGAATACACTGACTTTATTTGCTGTGTAGCATTTTGGGACCCAATAAATAGTAAGCCCACATCATGGAAGAAGCTGATACCTACAATAAGACAAGAATAATCAAATCATTTTTAGTTATCGATATATAGTTTTTGGTAATATTTTTCATAATATTTCTAGAACAGGGATGTCACCACGCTGGTCGGCGGTGGTCAGGCCCGTCCAGCACTCAACATTTCCCACCAGGATTTACAGGCTCCCGACCACCACTATTATTTCAACAGTTTACAAATTGTAACAAAATAATTAGTTTACCTAAACACAATAGACAAGCTTATCTAATTGATAGATAAAGACAATAAGAATACAATAAATGTTTCCGTGGTTACGTTAATTGTAACAAAATACTGCACTGCCCTGCTATTCATCGCTAACTTAACAGCCTAGGCCTAGGCCCAGTTGAGTCATAGCGAACATCGTGGGCTGGCGTGGCACGGTTGCTCTGTACACATTCAAAGGTTAAAGTTGAAATTGTGACCATTCAAGTGTTTTATTATGAGATCATGGTCCGGGGCAGGAAGATTATTAAAAATTTACGAAACCTGATTTATGTTTTATTTCTTTACTTTGTTTTCATTTTGTATTTTAAGTTTTTCACTTTTAATTATAATCGATATATAATGTGTGTAAATGGACAAAAAATAAATAAATGAGTGCACATGAATCAGTGACATACACATTCATCGTGGTAATCGTCAAACATGTGAAATTACGGCAAACAATGCGGCTGGGTACAGTCGGATCGACGCTTTGTCGCCGGGATTTGTTCATTATTATTTTTTTAATCTAAAACAAAGCATGTCAACTATTGAATTTAATTAGGCCTACAGTAAGTCTCATCTTCATCTGTTTTGTTGCATTCCTCAAATTCTGGCCTAGGCCTACCTGGGCCTGGCCTACCTGGGTGGGCCTAGCCAAAAAAAATTGCGTCAGCTAGCCTTGGGCCTAGGCCTGCTCGGCTTACTTAGGCCTTTTGGTTTTTAAGAGCTTTCACGAATACGGCGATTCCCCCCCCCCACCCCCGGGAAAACGAATACGGCGATTCCCCCCCCACCCCCCGGGAAAACTGGGGGAGGGGGGTTGGTACCCCCACCCCCGGGAAAATGCGGAATGATCGCCGACCGGCACTTCAAAAAGCTGGTGACATCCCTGTTCTAGAATATACTTGCATTAAACAGTGGCAACATAAAGGTGACACCAATGATGATTTAAAATAAAAATTAAATTTTATTTTTGGCCAATTAGTGCATCCGCTAATTAAGTTTTTATTTATTTTTATTACCCTCTGATGATCATTAAAAATTAAGTTCGCTAAATAAAGGTATAAAGAGTCTCGTCTAGTAAGTGAAGAATATAATTCAGTGTGTCTCTCCCAACAGCCTCCTTATATTCTACTCTTCCATTATTTCTTTTAATCACATACAATATTCACTTGAAAATTTTACCTTTCAAATATTTACATAATAAACAAACATTAATACAGAACCAAATGAACCGTGTAGCATATCTGAACCTCTGAATGTTTTTCAATTCACTTAATGCATACTGTATGACATCATGAAAATAATCATTGTTCCTTCGAAATTCAAAGTCAAGTGGCGGTTCCACATGGGTCTTGTGAAAACAGATCACCCTCTACTTCAAGACCAAGGCGACCTTGCACTTCAGTCTCTAATGAGAGGGTTAGTTTCGTATTAAAGACTGAAGAATGTTATTTGGTTCTTTGAAAAAAGTGGTCTTGAATTTAGAGTCTCGGAATTAGGTAGTAAAATAAAACAGTAAAAAATGCCTAATTATTAGAAATAAGATTCAGAGATTTGCTGACCCGGTGGTAGGCAAACCCCCCCCCCCCTTCCTCCAAGATTCGGTCCAGCATTTGGGCAATGACAACTGTCCACAAGAGCTGGCCCTAGTCTGATCTTTATGAAGTCTCATCCATGTGTCTAATGGTGTGAGGTTTAATGACAACTATAGACTAACTGGACTCACAAACAAAAATTATGAAAACAAACCCGATTTCCTCTCAATATCACGATACTTTTCAATAGACCTCTTAGCCAGTTCTCCCCAAATTGTATCTTTTTCAGCACATTTTGTAATGCGTCCTTCATCATAGTAGGAACCAAATATTGTAGCTTTTGATCGATCCTACAATTTAAAGAAGTGCAAGAATAGAGCTCTATCTTGGTGTAAGATGCTAACTGTAACATCGTAGTGTCTAGTACGAAGATTAAGTGGAGGGGCTTTAATGAGGGGGTGCTATCTTGACAAATAAGGCGATACGAAGTGATTTTTAACTAAACTGAGGGTAAATGTTTTCTTACCATGCCCACTGGGTTAAATAACTGAAACTTATTTTTCATTGCTCCTTTAAAATCAGAATGTGATTCACCTGAGCACATTTATTTAGGGGTCATCAATTATTTTCATCATTTTTTCAAGAGTACATACAGTAGCACGATTTTTTCTGTGAAGGATCATTCTTTTTTAATAAAAGAGTACATGACTACACCGAAATCACCCAACCCCTAATCATACTGTATGTTTTGTATTCTTGTTAAAATGATGAAATTATGGATGGTCCCTTATCAGAAAAAAACTAAATAAAGTTATAATTGTCCTCTTTTTATATACCCTCCTAAAGTAATTGCAAAAGAAATAGTAAGGACTTTTAGATTGTGTGGACGTGGACCCGGTTCACGTCGACTAGTCATGCGTGTCAACGTAGTCAACTATACCTGTTGACTTACAAATGAAAACCTTTTAGATTTCAGTCGAAGATACATTGACATGTAGTGAACTACATTACATTGTATCAGTTGGCGAACCTTCATCGACTTCGCAAAATTATTGTCTTTGCATATTCTACCAGTGTCTTGGACGATGAGGAATTCATGTTTTTATACAATACAAATAAACCCAAAAATGCCGAATTCAAGTACCGAGATTATCAGAAATTTGATCTAGACAAGTACAACAATGATGAATGTAATGCATACTTCAGGGCGCATCCGGTGCGTCAACTGCAATGATGCAGATAGTTAACAGGCCTCCCCGGCCACGCTCGCTGCGGTGCAAGTTTGCATTGCATGCACACTGGCGTAAGCACGCTCATGAATTTCCACAGCCTTTTTTGTGTTTACGAAGGCAGTAGAAATTACATAACTGCCTGTGCATTAAAAAGCAAATAATACAGATTAATTCAACACAAGTTAGAAACTTATCTCAGACTCTGTCTGCCTCTGTTGGACGAACTAGTGAAAGCAGCGTTGCCACTATATTTTCATCTTCCATCTTTAAACTGCAAAAGCGAGCACGGCGTCCTAGATTTAGGACGACGGGAAAAACAAGGTGAACACGTTCTCGATTTTGGTAGTGGACGAGGGAGACGACGTAACGCATGCGCAGTGCTTTAAAATGACCTCATCACATAGCAGTCCACTATGTCGACGTGCAAATCTAAAAGTTCCTATTAGGCCTAGGTACTGTAGATACCAGCGCTAAAATACATACCTCTGGTTCTTCTGGTCCGATTAGGCAGACACTTAGGTTGTGGCTACCTGATGTCAGGTGATAAGCCGCTGCTGAGCCCCACGTACCGGCTCCAACAATACAGACATCAAATTCCTCCATACTGGTGGTGGTACTTCTACTGCTTCTGTCTACAGAAGAAAAATTATGAAAATATGCACTACTCATATGAATTTTAAGAATTGACAGAATTAATAAATATTTGGATCTAAGCTCATATTCCAAGCACCCTTCAGATTCCAAAAAAAACATATCGAAGCACTTGAAAATTATTCACAATAATCATAATTATGATCATAATATTAAAATAATCAAAATAATATCATAGTACAGTAATCATAATCATCGTAGTAATAGTTTATCATACTAATAATCACCTAAAATCAAAACAATTATAATAACCGATGGCATTTTGCATCGAGAGAAATAATACAAATTGATGTTTGCCCTACCTGACATGTTATAATACTGAATGCTCAGCATGTTCCCAAATACTTGCAAAACAATCTCACAATTATTCTGTGTAATCCATACATATGGTATTCTTTTCATATTTTTAAATATATCTGCTTTAGGGAGTTACAAACAAGAACAGCATCTCAGGGAACTGGATGATGTTCCGTGCGCACATTTGTGTCGACATACAATGAAAATATGCCAAAATAATGCTTAATTTTAATTAGTTATAGCTCCTTAGGATGCAAGGTGACCCCCCAATTTTTATTACATATTCTACAAGCACATGAGTTGTAGATATGATTTTATCATAATGGCTGATCGGACATTGTGACGTCATCATATTGCCATCTGAATTCAAAAAACCGAATTTCTATCTATGACGTCATTGTACATCATTTGAGCTTATCTCGCTTATCCTTGATGGATCGTCTCCCAACTTTGAGTATGTTAGAGCTGAGACAATTCTCTTTCATATTGTGACTTCTTTTTACATTTTGATGACGTCATCATGGTCAAAATAAATGTCTTATCTTTCTTTCCTCAAAACTTTGATGACCCCGTATCATCCTAACTACTAGTCGCCATTTCTGAATCATATTCAGTGGGCATAAACTTCCGGTCAAGCTTGAATGTCATGTACTTTAATTTTCTGTGCGTGTGTCATAGCGTGCGCATACACGTGCCTCAAAATTTAAATATGCTTAAAATCATGCCTATTTTTAATCAGTTATAGCTCCTTAGGATGAAAGGTGACCCCCAATTTTCATTACATATTCTGAAAGCACGAGTTGTAGATATGATTTTATAGATCATTTTGATTAATTGGACATTGTGACGTCTTTAAATTTCCATTTGAATTTTTAAAAACTGATTTTTTTTTATATATGGCGTAATAATTTTTATATGGATTTGAGCGTATATTGCTTATCCTTGATCGATTGTCTCCCAAGTTTCAGTATATAGCCGAGACAATTTTCTTTCATAATTGTGCCTTCTATTTTCACTTTTAAGAAGTCAAAATGAATGCTTTTTCTTACCCCTTCTTCTTTTCCTTTAAATACTGTATTTGTGAAATTCTAAGATTTATCATAAATCGACCTCTGCCAGAGGGCGGCAGACTGGTTTAGAACACTGACATAAGTATACTTCATATTAAGGCTCAACTTCATGTGCAATTACCGTCTGCGTGCGCATCATGACATGCGTGTACGTGTGCGTTTATTTCTAAATTCTCAAGATCACTTTTTGACCAATTTAAAAATGCATTTCAGGCAATTTTGGGCATTTCAAAATTTTCTCGCTGAGGAAAACCATCGGATCCTGCGTATCAGCTAAAATTGGTTGATGACGAATTTCAATCTAGGCCTAGGCCCTAGGCCCTAGTTAACTTTTGTTACTTTAAATACACAATTCAGACATGTGCTACAAGCAATGCATTTTACTGGAAGATTGAATAATTATACCTCAATTTAAGTCATCTTCATGCTATTAAAAATTGTAAAAAAAATAAGACCCCCAGAAAATAATATCCATAAAAAAAATAGTCATCATATCACACCAAATCCCCCCCCCACCCCACCATACATTGAGGTATAATTATTCGAACAGTTTTCAAATTGTGCAAGATTTCCTTGCACACATATTGCAAATTGTGCAAGGAAGAGCTTGCACAATTTTCAAATTACGCAAAAGTCTCAAATTGTGCACATATTTATAGGATAAACTTAGGCCTGCTTACCTACTACTAGGCCTAGCCTACTAGGCCTAGCTAGGGCCTAGGCCTAGGCTAGGCATAAATTTTAATTACAAAAAAAAAGGAAGTGAATGTTGAATTGAAATAATACTCCCGCTGTCACGACCTATGCTAGCCTTTAGAATAGCCGGTACTAGAATCTAGAAAGTTACCTGTTCTGTAGGCCTAGATTAGAAGGTAGCAGTATTGACATGTAGCATCAAAGAGGTAGCATACACGTGTTTCTTGTGGTAGTGGCTATCGGCACTGCCGCAGTGCCGATTTGGCACTGCCGCAGTGCCGATTTGGCACTGCCGCAGTGCCGGTTTGGCACTGCCGCAGTGCCGGTTTGGCACTGCCGCAGTGCCAAAAAAAGCTGCTGTTTTCTATCGGCACTGCCGCAGTGCCAAAAAGCTGCCGTTTTCTATCGGCACTGCCGCAGTGCCAAAAAGTTGCTGTTTTCTATCGGCACTGTCACAGTGCGAAAAGCTGCTGTTAATTAAATCGAATCGATGTTTTTATCGATAGATGACCTTGGTGTAATTCATAATTCATAATTTTTTTTTCACTCAAAACGTAATGAGACTGGTTAGGCAAAAACATGTCCCTGTACAAGATGCCTACCAGAGAAACAATGATAATGTTAATGGCAAAGACATAATAATAATAATAATAATAATAATAATAATAATAAA